ACGGACCTGAATGTAGCAGATCCGTTGACTAAACCTCTCCCTAGAGCAAAACATGATCAACACCAGAATTCCATGGGTGTTCGATTCATCACAATGTAACTAGATTATTGACTCTAGTGCAAGTGGGAGACTATTGGAAATATGCCCTAAAGACAATAATAAAAGGATTATTATTATATTTCCTTGTTCATGATAATTGTCTTTTATTCATGCTATAATTGTGTTATCCGGAAATTGTAATACATGTGTGAATAACAGACACCAACATGTCCCTAGTAAGCCTCTAGTTGACTAGCTCGTTGATCAACAGATAGTCATGGTTTCCTGACTATGGACATTGGATGTCATTGATAACGAGATCACATCATTAGGAGAATGATGTGATGGACAAGACTCAATCCTAAACATAGCACAAGATCGTATAGTTCGTTTGCTAGAGTTTTCCAATGTCAAGTATCCTTTCCTTAGACCATGAGATCGTGTAACTCCCGGATACCGTAGGAGTGCTTTGGGTATACCAAACGCCACAATGTAACTGGGTGACTATAAAGGTATACTACGGGTATCTCTGAAAGTGTCTGTTGGGTTGACACGGATCAAGACTGGGATTTCTCGCTCCATATGACGGAGAGGTATCACTGGGCCCACTCGGTAATGCATCATCATTATGAGCTCAAAGTGACCAAGTGTCTGGTCACGGGATCATGCATTACGGTACGAGTAAAGTGACTTGCCGGTAACGAGATTGAACGAGGTATTGGGATACCGACGATCGAATCTCGGGCAAGTAACATACCGACTGACAAAGGGAATTGTATACGGGGTTGCTTGAATCCTCGACATCGTGGTTCATCCGATGAGATCATCGAGGAGCATGTAGGAGCCAACATGGGTATCCAGATCCCGCTGTTGGTTATTGACCGGAGAGCGATCTCGGTCATGTCTACATGTCTCCCGAACCCGTAGGGTCTACACACTTAAGGTTCGGTGACGCTAGGGTTGTAGGGATATGTATATGCAGTAACCCGAATGTTTTTCGGAGTCCCGGATGAGATCCCGGACGTCACGAGGAGTTCCGGAATGGTCCGGAGGTAAAGAACTATATATAGGAAGTGCTATTTCGGCCATCGGAACAAGTTTCGGGGTCACCGGTATTGTACCGGGACCACCGGAAGGGTCCCGAGGGTCCACCGGGTGGGGCCACCTATCCCGGAGGGCCCCATGGGCTGAAGTGGGAAGGGATCCAGCCCAAAGTGGGCTGGGGCGCCACTTCCCCCTATGGCCCATGCGCCTAGGGTGGGGAAACCCTAGGGTAGGGGAAACCCTAAAGGGGGGCGCCCCCTTGCTTGGGGGGCAAGCCCCCCACCCCTTGGCCGCCCCCCCCCCTAGGAGATTGGATCTCTTAGGGCCGGCGCCCCCCCTAGGCCCCCTATATATAGTGGGGGGGAGGGAGGGCTTCACACCCACGCCTTTGGTGCCTCCCTCTCCCTCTCCAACACCCCCTCCTCCTCCATAGAGCTTGGCGAAGCCCTGACAGAGTACCTCCACCACCACCACGCCGTCGTGCTGCTGCTGGAGCCATCTTCCTCAACCTCTCCTTCCCCCTTGCTGGATCAAGAAGAAGGAGACGTTACGCTGACCGTACGTGTGTTGAACGCGGAGGTGCCGCCCATTCGGCGCTAGGATCTCCGGTGATTTGGATCACGTCGAGTACGACTTCCTCATCCCCGTTCTTTGAACGCTTCCGCGTGTGATCTACAAAGGTATGTAGATGCAATCCAATCACTCGTTGCTAGATGAACTCATAGATGGATCTTGGTGAAACCGTAGGAAATTTTTTGTTTTCTGCAATGTTCCCCAACACGTTAGCAACCCCCCAGCAGTACCACGTGCTGGGAGGGAGCTAACAAAATCGAGGGAAGAGGGGAGAAAGGATCTGATTTTTTGCAGAGAGGGGGCTGCTAATTTAGTTTCTTGAAGGAGAAGAAGGTTTGGTTTGAGAGACAGTAATTCAGCCAATACTTCAGTACATTTTCCATCATCACCTAATCCTCTTACATTCCACGAACAGAACAACAAGTTCGAACTAGACATAGATCACTAAAATAGACACCAACCTAGGAGAGAGATACTACATGATAACTAGGACACAGCAGCGGGTACAAACACCCATGGGAACAGATAGAGCTAGCAGCAGACACAGACTACAGCAACAACCAGTCTTCTTCATGCAGCTAAACATAAATCACTTGGCAGAGGCACCGGCAGTTGAGGCCACCCATTCGGCCTCGTCAGGAGAAGAGCCACACTCCAGAGCCAGAGCGGCCAGGGCGCGGGGAGAGCCCGGCTGCGCAGCATCAGGGTACAGGCGAGCGGTACGCACTGCATCCTCGAAGTCACGAGCGGAGCTGCTCAGCATCAAGCGCTTGGCTTTGGCCTTTGAGGCCTTGTCCTGGATGGTCTCCTTCCTGTATGGCTCCAGCTCAGCAAGACGAGCACTCCGCCTGACATGCAGCACCAAGCTAGCCCGCTTGCGGTACACACGCTTCTTCTTGGCAATGGCCTCGTGGGGCTGAGCCAAAGGCGCAGCAGCCCTGGGACGGCGAGAGTAGACCACCGGAGGGGGTGCCAACTCCAGGGCCGGCATGGCGGCAGTAGCAGCACATGCGGGGGCAGGAACGGAGACCGAAGAAGGTGCACAGTTGGCAGCAGAAAGCATAGAGGCAATAACCGAGGGCACCGGAGGAGTGGCTGGGGCGACAGAGGCAGGTGGCAGCACAGAAGTAGATGGCGGCACAGCGGGCTGCATGTCAGCAAGGATAGCATCAAGCAGAACAGGAGGAGCCAGGCGAACCCTAGCGAACGGCACATCATCGTCGGAGGAGCTTAAAGCGAGCTCGACAAAATCGTCGGCGGCAAGCGAAGCATTTCTTGAGGGTGAAGGAGGGGGGCCCTGAGGGAATTCTAGGGAGACGGTGATCGGGCCAAAGGCTGCCATGGCCGCGGTGGCGCCGAAAACATGTTTTAGAGCCTATGCACCCGGGTACTCCTTATCCACGGTGGTCCGCGGTGGCGCAGTGGAGACCGACTGAGGGATCCGGGGCAGGCAAATCCGAGTCGGAGGCAGAGTCCGAACCGGAGTCCGAGTCCGCATCAGAGGAGAAAGGAGATGGGTCACAAGGGCCAATGCGAGAGACCTTGCCATGCTCAAGTAGTTGGACAACTAGGATGTCAAGATTGGGGAGCTGGACTGTGAGAGCATCGAGGAGAGTGGTTCCTTTGAAGAGAGCGACATGAGCCCGAATGGAAGTGCGCTCGTCGGATAGCAGACAGTACTGATCAATGGGGAAGATTTCACCAAGAAAGTTGAGGATGAAGTGGATGCCCGAAGGATGCCAGAGCTCAAGAGGGAAGCCGATGGCCTCCAACTCCGTGAGATCATCCTCAAACAGGGCAGCGGAGCGGCCATGGTTTTCAGCGGGCTCGAACGAAATGGTATTCCCGTCGACATACATAGGGCCACGCGTGATGACGGCGTGGCGAGCAGCAGCAGTGGGGAAGGTGACAAGGCCTGCGCCACGGAAAGACGCCGCGACGCGGAAGACAGGGTTGCCACCGTGCTCCCGAAGCACGCGGCGAATCTCAGGGAATGGGTTGTGAACGGGAGTGCGGAAGTGGACGAAGGCATACCTAGCTATGTCATCGTTAACAAGCTGCGGTGGGACAACGATGAAGGGCTGGCGAGGCGGGTGGGGGATGGGGGCAAAGGTGGGAGGCCCCCTGTTTAGGGTGCGGGGGAGGCGTCAAGGCCGGGCGGGGAGCGTGGGTGGGGCGGGGAGGGGAAAGGTTGAGGCGGCGAGCTCCATCTCCATCTGATGGAACTCTTTTGGCACCAACATTGTGATTCTGCACTTAATGCTTGACTGAAATCACCCTTAACCCAACGAACAATGTTGTTATATGCAACAGAAACACAAGTAGAAGATGATGATCAACAATGTTCTAGGACATAGTCACAGATCAGCGAGACATACCATCATTCATGAATTTATTGAACAGGCATCAGGCATAACAACACCTAGCTATGCTCTTCGAATTGATACTAACGCTAGAAATTTCACACCATCTAATGTTACTCAAAACATAATTAATGGTTCTAGCCTGTCTTGTAGATTGTGGAGCTGTGCATGCAAATTTGGACGGTAGTGATCCTCGAGGATTTTATGTATGGGGATTGAAGTGGAGTTATTCAATACGATGAGTTTTATAGTTAACGCCTGTAGATACTCAGCTGTTTCAAGTTCAGCTGACATAGTTATTTCTTATTTCCTGGACAGATTTTCTGATCATGAGCATGTCCAAGTCTCTGCGGCCATCTCCATGCTATTTATCTTCCAATACATTTTTTACTAACTGGCTGGGTGTTATTTGAATGGAAGAGAGCATACCACTGAAAATTACAGTTTTCATTTTCTTATACAGAGGTGTACGTATATTAACATGAGCGACATTTTTTCCTAATTGATTTAAATCTATCGCTACTAATCGATTAGTGGACAACGTTGGTGGCATACTTTTTTCTTGCACTTAGGGAACCACAGCATGATCGAGCTGCTTATTAAGGATGCACCTTTCAGAGCAATTGTGTGAAACAAGTGCTCCTTTCTGTTTGTCTTTCTAACCTTAAACGACCTTCAGTTTGGGGGGGGGTTGTAATTTGGCCGGGACAGCAGCGCTAAAATTACACGCTGTATGCATCACTTAATCACAAGTGACTTTTAGTTTCCATGCGTTTGTTCAATAATAATTAATAAGCTGAAGCTCAAATTAATACTTTTTTGTTCTGTTTGCAACAAAGCAGAAGCAGTCTCCACTGAAGGAATGGACACTGAGAGTGACAAATGATAAGCAGTTCTATTTGTCTTTACCAAATAGGTATACTCAATATCTTTATATATTAACAAAACATGCCCAGCAATCGCTTGGATGCGATGCGGTACTTAGGTACAAAGGATAAAAATATCAGATATTAAATTGGCATGCTTAAAAGGTGTAAAGGCAGCTGCCGTCGTCACTCCTCGCCGTTGGGTCGAAGTTCTTGGCAGTCTGGTCGGTGCATCCTGCCGGCACAGGCAAAGTACCTTGCTGTGCCCCTTTACCTGCAATTTAATTGTTTTGGACGATCTGATGAGAAGATGAGCTTGATATGCCGGATGAACAGGTAAGAAGAATAGGCCTCCACTGTTTGTTTATGATTCACTCTCTTTTGTTTCAGAAGTAAGCAAGTGAGAAGTAAGTATGTATGTAAAGTAGGTGCTGAAAGTATAAAAGGATTGTGCGTAGTTCACCTCCTCCTATGCAGCAAGAGATGGTGGGTGTGTATGGAGAATGTTCTAACCGTAGAAGGAACCAGTCTTCATCGCATCCTGGTTAGCATCACCCAGAGCTGCCTGGCTCATGTAGGTGTCAGCAAGCTGCACACGCTTGACATTGTCCTGCTCCTGGACGAGCATGTGCCCGTACTCTAGCAGCTTCTCGACTGTCATCTTTGGCTGCTCAAAGGTCACTGGTCCGTCCCGCGAGTTCACAAGCTTCTTGCCAATGTTCTCGATACCGGTAGAGGTCACCCACTTGCGCACCTCGTCGTCGTACACCCGAGCACGCAGAGCACCGAAAAAGTCTGTGTAGGATTGACCATCCTTTGTTAATACTATACAACTTGATTGCCCTGATGAATATATATTATCTCTGCGGTGCAGTTGTGAGGAACATACCGATGGATTGTCCTGGGAAGGTGTCGACGATCTTGACGACGGACTCGTCGCTGACATTGTCGGTCTGGAAGATACCCTTGCAGACACCGATACGGTCGTCGCGGGTGGGAGCCCAGTAGAACTTCTCCATACGACCATCACGGATGAGAGGGGCGTACAACGTTGAGAAATCGTTACCAGTGACGACGATGGGCACACGAGGGTTCTCCTCCTTGTTGTACATGCCTGGGAGCTGCACGTTGGTGGGGGCATCGGCGATGTTCATGAGGGTGGCGTTCACCATCTGGTTGTTGACGGTGTACTGTGTGGTCCCGCCCATCCGACCCGCACCGGCGTCAAGATCGTTGATGAAGAGGCAGCACATCTTACCCTTCTTGATCATGTCTGCAGCCTCACGGTACCGCTGCCTGATGAGCTTGGCTGGCTCTCCGGCGTTGCCACTCTCCAGCTCTCCGGCACTCATCATGATTGGGCTGTGGTGAAAAGCACACGTCATTATCTATTACTAGCACTGTGGCTTGATGCATCTATGACTGTGTGACAGTATGTATAATAGATGAATGTGAATTCCTACTTGATGCCCATCTTGGCGAAGACAAGCTCACACTGGAAGGATTTTCCTTGACCCTTGCCTCCCCAGATACCCAAGATGAGTGGGATCTGAATTTCGATTCAAGGTCAGTTCCAGAATCAGAATGATTTTCTTGCTGCTAATCAATAGTCATGATGCATACCTTGATGTTGGGCAGGGTCATGAAGTTCTTGGAGAGATGGACAACAAGCTTGTCCATGAAAGCAGGAGCGATGTAGAAGCCTCCCATGGTGTTGTCGAAGTCGTACTTCTTGAGTCCCTGGCTGACGTACTCGTAGGAGCTGAGGACGGCCTCGTGGGTGCCGTCGCCCGTGGGCGCCTGGAAGAGGGAGTCCACGATGCCCTTCCCTCTGGTGATGTCCTGCTGGTCGTCGGAGATATCGTAGGCAAGACCCTTCCACTTGTCTGTGTTCCTCTTCTCGTCGATGTTTTCCGCTGCCATGACTGTGAACCTGTTGGCCTTGGAGCTCTTGCCATGGTAGTTCACGGCCGAGGTCACCTGCTTCTTGAGCTTCTTCCCGAGGAAGTTGGTCGGCGTAGAAGCCTGTATACATTACACACACACACACATGAGACGCCGTTGAAGACATTGATACGATATCATCACTAAACAAGAGATGCAATCAATCAATTGATCGATCGATCAGTGTGTCATACGCACCGGGGCACCGACGGTGGAGGAGAAGGCAGCAGCCATCTCGGTGCTGCTTGGTCGACCTTGCTAGCAACGGTGGATGCGCGGCTGTGCTGGTGATCAGCGATGAATGACCGCTGCTGCTCAAAGTATAGAGGCCCAGCTATGAGATGCCTTAAATACACATGGATTGGCATATTGCTGCGGTGGGGAGCTTGGAGGAGGAGGCGGCATACACACACCCCTGCTTGTGGATCAGCTTCCCGATCCCGCACAGGCCACACGCTGGAGATTGGGTTCTGAGCCTCTTGGCCGGCCGGTTGGATGACTTGGACCGTCAAGACCAAACGCTGCAGCTGCAGCTGCAGGTACGTCTGCTGGCCATCAATTCCATGGCCTTCCACGGCCACAGAATCTAACCATTCATGCTCAAATCATCTCCATTTTCTTCCGTGCCTTTCGTTTTTCCTTTCACCGGATCGTCTTGTTTATTAGCCAAGCTATGTCGTTGCATAACCACAAAAAAGGGTCTCTCCTTGCTTGTTGGATGAGGCACCCAAGATTGTATTCTAGTTCAAGTACCACAAATTTGTTGCTGCCATACATATACTGGTTTGTTGATAACCATCAAGCTAGGGATGTCATTTGGCACCACACAAATAAGTCCTGGTTGACATCAAGCACATGGGTATGTACTTTTGTGTACTCCAATAATATTGCCACTTCGGTAAAAAAAAATGAAACGTATTAAGAGAAAAGCAAGTCATGCAGTGTTTTTTTATTTGAAGGGAAAATGATAGCGTGTGTATATGTCACGTCTGTAATGTTTTCATGTAAATGTTATTGGTGCTGCTTAGCTCAAGTTTCCTGGAATTATCATTGTCTTGGTCTACTACAGACCATTGATCCTTTTGAAGAATGCTAGCCGTGTTTGCCTTGCACAATCTTTCTCCAATACGCGCTCTAGTGATGTTGTCCTTGTTAATCAGTTTCCAAATCCGTCAAGAGGAAAATATACATGTCACTAGTCATGACCCCCACATCCACAGTACCTAATCAAGAATTTTCAGAGGATTTCCAGCTATCTGCTAATCTTCCAACAAGTGCTAATATGAGATAGGTTGTTGGGACCCTAGCTTGCATCCATTATTAGAGTGATTAAGCGGAAAATGACGATTCAGGTATATATAGGCAATACGAAAACATATACAATTGGATTCTCTTTCAAGAAGAGACTTACAATTGGGCTACCTGTGCGGCGATGAATCAAAAAGTTTGAGTGGATTCGAGTCCAAAATATTCCAGCATATATATAGTGCATGCATGCACGCATGCATCTTAAGTATAGGACTTTCTACTTGCCGTAGAAGGCGCCGGTCGCCATGGCGTCGTCGTTGGCTTGGCCGAGCGCCGCCTCGCTGAGGTACTTGTCGGCGAGCTGCACGCGCTTCACGTTCTCCTGCTCCTGGACCAGCATGTGGCCGTACTCCATGAGCTTCTCGATGGTCATCTTGGGCTGGTCGAACGTCGGCGGCCCCTCCCTGGAGTTGACGAGCCGCTTGGAGATGTTCTCGACGCCGATCTCGCCGACCCACTTGCGCACCTCGTCGTCGTACACCCGCGCCCGCAGCGCGCCGAAGAAGTCGATGGACTGCCCCGGGAAGGTGTCCACCAGCCTCACCACGGCCTCGTCGGGGACGTTGTCGGTGCGGAAGATGCCCTTGCACACGCCGATGCGGTCCTCCCGGGTGGGCGCCCAGTAGAACTTCTCCATGCGGCCGTCCCGGATGAGGGGCGCGTACAGCGTCGAGAAGTCGTTGCCGGTGACGATGATGGGCACGCGTGGGTTCTCCTCCTTGTTGTACATCCCCGGGAGCTGCACGTTGGTGGGCGCGTCCGCGATGTTCATCAGGGTGGCGTTCACCATCTGGTTGTTCACCGTGTACTGCGTCGTCCCGCCCATCCGCCCCGCGCCGGCGTCCAGGTCGTTGATGAAGAGGCAGCACATCTTGCCCTTCTTGATAATGTCGGCAGCCTCGCGGTACCTCTGCCGGATCAGCTTGGCCGGCTCGCCGGCGTTGCCGCTCTCCAGCTCTCCGGCGCTCATCATGATGGGGTTGATGCCCATCTTGGCGAACACCAGCTCGCACTGGAACGACTTGCCCTGTCCCTTGCCTCCCCAGATACCCAGGATGAGAGGGACCTTGATGTTGGGGAGTGTCATGAAGTTCTTGGCGAGGTGGACGATGAGCTTGTCCATGAACGCCGGGGCGATGTACAGCCCGTCCATGGTGTTGTCGAAGTCGTACTTGCGCAGGCCCTGGCTGATGTACTCGTAGGAGCTCAGGATGGCCTCGTGGGTGCCGTCGCCCATGGGGGCCTGGAACAGGGAGTCCACGATGCCTTTCCCCCTCGTGATGTCCTGCTGGTCATCGGAGATGTCGTAAGCGAGACCCTTCCACCGATCGGCATCGGTCTGCTTGCCCTCGTCAAGTTCCTTTTTGGCCGCCATGGCCCTGACCACCCTATTGTTGATCTTGTTGCCACCATGGTAGTAGTTCAACGCACCGGCCTGCTTCTTCACCTTCTTCCCGAGGAAGGTGGTCGGGGTCGACGCCTGGAAGTATAACATTTCAGTCAGCCCCAACCAGATTCATGTACGTTGGCTCATTTGGTTCAATAGCAGTTTCCACGATGCACGCTTGAGTTGAATATATGCTTCATTAATTTGTAGATAAGGGCCTCTCTGATTCAGAGGATTCCCAAAGAAATTTTGGAGGATTCTAATCCTTAGGCTATTTTTTTCAATGTGGGTTGTTTGATTTGTAGGATTCCAATTCACGTGAATTTTCTTTCTTATGATTCATCTGTACTAGTTTTTCGTAGGAAAATTTTCATCCACTCCAACCTAATGTGAAAAAATTTACGTTTTTCTTGTACACAATCAAACAACCATATTATTCAAAAGTTTCAAAGATGGTGTGCCATTCTGTTCCTATGTTTTTCATATTCCAACGATTTAGGAATACTATGAATCAAAGAAGTCGTAAGTTTTCTAGGAAGTGTATCAACCGTTGATTTGGGCATTTTCAGTCTTCAGTCACTATTTAATTGCATGTCATATAAAATTAATTAGTCCATCCAAAAGCTCGAGCCTATGAAGAGAGGCAGAAGGTTGAAAGTATATTTCAACGCTCCAACTCATACCAGGAGGGGTGGGCCCGTGTTGAGGGGAGTGGGGGCCCAAGATCGCATTCAAAATATGAAATTTCAATATGATTTGTATAACTTCTAGGGGAAAATGCTAAAACTCAATGAATTTAGACAAAAATGTATCACCACTCTTATGTTTGGCCCGTAGTCAAAATAGTTTCTCGGTCTGCCTCTGCATACTGGGCCTTGAAATTGATGTCTCATGGCTTGAATAACATATTGGATTACATAACAACTTAACCAGCTCAGCCAAAAGTTCTTGCTGATGGAGAATAATGAAAAATAGTCAGTTTTTTAAATTGTTGTATCTAGATTCAATCTTTCTTCCCTCTCCCTCCCTCCTTCATATCGACCATTCACTTTTCTTTTAAAGATTATTAGATCTAGATCTAGTTTTCTCCTCACTCGGTCCCCTTCTTGAAGGCAGGAGACAAAGAAGAACCGGTTGAGAATCTATATGTCACTCAAAATTCTCACAAACAGGCTAGACAACCATGTGCCTTCACTCGAGACTTTTTTTAGGTCCTACCTTTGTTCTCCTCCTCCCCGCAATACCATCTAAAGAGTGTAACCACTAACATCGCACATTTCTCAACCCTCACCCCGCACTATTTATAGTTTGCGTCGTGATTCAACAAACCACACAATAGTTGCTCCTTAAGAAAATCTCGCTACCAACTCGCAACTCCTATTCTTTTTCATCCACGCCACCAAGAATCAGCAGCTAGTGCTGCCTACATTATCTTTGCCGTGCTAGCTCAACATTTATGGTCATGCCCAAACCGAGCACAAATGACCTCATTTGATAGCCTCGCCCCACGACGGCCGACCATTCACCCCACCACCCTAGTCTCGATAAGCCCCGGAAGGCATGGGTGAGGAAAAGATGACCTTGTCCGAGTCAACACATAGAGGAGGCCCTGCTTGTCGCGTCCAAATCTCAAAGCAAGATCACACGGTCACAAATTATATTGTAATTGTACAAAATGAAACAATCCAAAGCTGAAAATATGTAGCAAGTCAGCCATATTTAGAGGAGGCGATGAGTATTGTTTTAGTAACTTAGCGAGTAGACGTACATACGTTCTGTCCACTGGATTAAGGATCAGCTGCCATGAGTGTAGGTCTAGTCATACGTACCGGAGCTCCAACGGTGGACGAGAAAGCAGAAGCCATCGTGTCGATTGTTCTCTCCCCGCACCTGATAACTTAATTAGTTTCAGATTAATTTGATGTGCGTACGTGCAGTGGTATATGCAAGCTCAGCTTAGGCGTACTACTAGTACACCTGCAGATGCAGCTCGACTGAGATGGTCAGTGATCGACCGAGCTGATGTGGATAAAAGAGAGGGTGCGCTGGCTAGCAAGTACAGATGCGATGCCGATCGGTGCAGCTTGGCTATGGCGGCTTATATAGGTGCACGCACAGACGGCCATGGTGCAAACGTCCAACACGACTGGAGTGACCTACAGCGTGCGCGACTATTCTAGAGCTTCCCTGCGTAATCACGCAGTCAGGCGAGATAAGCTGTGATTGTTAGGCTCTAATTGGCTTTGCTTAGCGCGATGGCTGCGATAAGTAGTGAGGCGAGCCAAGTGGAGTGGATGATGAGATGTTAATTGTGTGGATGGGGCTGGGCATCGCCCAGGAGCCACACGCTGAGGATTGGCTTCCTGGCTACCCTGGCTCAGTCCATCAAAGGCGTCGACGTGGCTGCTTGTCAGCCTCCTGATCGGCGCATCCAACGGCCTAAAAGAAATCTAAGCTGCCTGCCTTCGGTTCCTTGTGGGTTACGGGCCCGGAGCATCTTTTTGCGGGTATGCATGCATTATTAAATCAGCGTGCGCCG